AATAGGTTTGGCCACTGATGGAGCCAATGTTATGGCTGGAGACTTGGGCGGGCTGAAAACATTATTGAGTGCAGAAACCGATTTATTTTATATAAAGTGCACATGCCACTCACTTCACCTTTGCTAGAGCTATGCTTGTAAAAAATTGCCGAAAAGCATTGAGACACTGTGCCGCAACATACTTAGTTTATTTTCCCACAGTCCAAAGAGGATGCATGAACTGAAGGAATTTCAGGACGACTGTTCGGTAAAACCCCACAAAATCATGGGCATATCTCAAACACGATGGCTTTCACTAGGATGGCTTTCGCTAGGATTTTAACTCTCATTCCAGCACATTTGATACATCTGATACGCTTTTCAGCATTAAGAAAGCGATACTATCCTCTCTAAATAAATTATTGACTAACATAAATACATTATAATCAGCTGATGAATTTGGTTCTGTAGCTGAATAGTTTTAGACAAGGCGAATTTATACAAGGTGGTGTTACTGGCGAATTTAGGTTTTCGCCGCGGTCCTTCTGAATGTCGAAATGATGTGTTTGTGGTAAACAAGGCGAATTCATATTACAACAAACACATCATTTTGACATTCAGAATGACCGCGGCGAAAACCTAAATTCTCCAGTAACACCACTTTGTATAAATTAGCCTTGGTTTTACATCTCGACACTTAATAAACTCCTGCCTTTCGTGACTCGGCGCAAAAATTGAATCGTGCGGATGGGCGGGAATGGAGCGTAAAACCGTTGGGATTATTATTATTAAAAAAAAGTGGAGCAATGGGATAGTTTGAAACTTTATTTTATTTCCTGCTTTTACGAAGTAAACGGTATGCGATCTGCAGACCTGGCAGAAGGAATGTGTTGCAAAACCAAATGCTATTTTTTATTTCTATCTTAAATTTTCCCCATAATTAACAATCTTAACAAAGAGTTCCAAGCTGAAAGTTCTCGTTTGCCATACTTATATGCAACTATCGAAGCACATTATCTCTTAATTTTGAGTACCTTTATTAAAAAAAGGTGCGATCAGTAACATATTAATGTTGATTTTAAAAATAAATATAATCATGTTGAAATATCTGACATTTTTTTTAGAACGAAAGCTGAGATGTTTATGAAAAGTAATGTCAATTGTTCTGGAATCCTTGAAGTTAAAACCAATACATTAAAGTTTTACATAGAGTTTTGGGACCAAATAAATATAAGATTTGATTTCACGCGTGAAGATATACAACTTTTACAAATAATGACGCCAGCTGTGGTAGTTTCTAATGAAGATTTACCAATTTTACCTCTTTTGTTAAAGTTTCCCCATCTCATAGATTGCGATCCTGATATAATAACCACGCAGCTGCTAAAGATTTGCATGTGTAATTGATTTAAGTTTACTTACAAAAAAAAAAATAACTTATTGGTACATAACATGTACATATGTATATAATTCATAGAACCAAAAAATTTTAAATGATCTCATCTCTGTGCCTAAGACTGTGTCTGCACGTATTTATTTCTTGTTTGTTTTAAAATGTACAAAGTACATATATATATTTATGTAAATGCTTTGTATTCGGAACTTTTAATCTTAAGTAGAAGAATTGTATGCTTTCAGAATGTTTTTTTTTAAATTGAAATTTATTTGGTAGGCTGTAAACGATTTTGGTCGGATTTGGGAAGAAATTTGGTAGGGGATAAAAATTGTTACTGGCAACGCTGATTTAACAGGTAAATGAAAATCACGGAAAATGTAATGCATGGCAATAACTTTTGAATATATTGTACATGAACTTACATAAAAACACTTCATTTCTCAAGACATTTACATAAACCATAAATGGAAAATTACGATAAGGCAATTCATGTAAGAGGCATTCCACACTATTTCAATTGGTCAAAAACTACTTTTGCTCGATTTACGGATATGTTGCAGAGGAGGTCCCAAAAGTATTTGTAATCGCAAAAAAAACGTTTTTTTTAAGTTATACAACAACCAAAATATTAGGTGTCTCGCCGTAAGCCATTGGGAGCGTCCATAAGTCGTAGCTGCAATAATTGCAATAAATAGAGATAGTTGCGCCGATAGTATTTAGAATTCAGCGCTAAGCTGCCGCCGTGTTGAAAAAGTCGTTCAACGGTTCAATGAATTATATAGCAAACATCTTAAAAGCATATATTAAGAAGCGTAGTATTATTATAAAACATTTTAGTTATTTTATCACAGCAGTAATATAAACTATAATAAATTTGTTTGCACCTACCACCTAACAAAGCGGCGTTAAATTTAACGGCGTAAGTCTTTTCGATCAGCTGTTTAGGCTAAGCCCAACACGTTGAGTTCAGGTAGCGTAAAAATTTTCCGCTGGAAAAAATTGCGGAAAGTTACCAACTATGGAGCTGAGCGGAACTACTCAACCGTGTTACGCAACAGCACATCATCACATCATAACTCGATATATATTGGTTGTATCAAAAAAATCAATTAGTACTTTTTTATTGACAAAGGGTCAGAGGTTTATTAAACTTTTTTTTTTAAGTCCAATTTTCCATATGTTTGTTAATGAACAATTTAGAAAAAAAAAAACAAAGATGTATCTTAATTTAGCATACATTAAAAGTAACAAATTTAAAAATTCGTGCAAAAAAGATGCTAGAAAAATTCAAAGATATATTTTAATTCAACATGACATTAAAAATGACACATTTAATAATTTTTGCTAAAAGATGAGAATTTTCCGCTTTTTTTAAACCAAAATGATTAAGTTATCTCTGCCCGTTTAGGAGATATGACCAATCAAAGAAATGATTATGTTAATTTTAAATTCGAGATTTTTCGTAAAGTAAGAGGATTATTGCAAAATAAAGTATAGGGAAACAAATATTATCTGGATCTGTACCAAAGTACGTAACTATCTTGGTTATCCGAAAGAAAAGGTTTTTAAGTGAACCACTTAACGTATTTTGATCAAATTTTAATTAAAGAATTTATTTTTTTTTTATTTTTTCATCAGTCACTGCTTTACGAAACAATCAATATCTCGGCCCTATATTGAGACACCCTTTCAAAATTTGTCAGTTAAATCTTTGATATACACTCCATCACATATATTTTTTGCAGTTTTTAAAAACCAGCAAACATTTTTTTTAGAAACTTTCTAAGTTGTTCATTAACAAACGTGTGGAAAATTGGACTTAAAAAAATAAAACATTTTTTATAAATCTCTAACTAACTGATTTTTTTATACAACCAATATTTATCGAGCTTTGATGTGATAAACAATGGCTTTCGCCGAGACAGCTATATTTTGGCTGTTGTATAACTTTTGCAAATTTATTTATTTTTTTACATTCCCTGCATTTGCCATATCTTAGAGGTATTTCTACATTTTACTCAGCTTATATCAAAATCGAAAAAAAATAATCACAATTTTCCTTGCAATAGCTTGGAATGCCTCATAAACGTTTAGATGAAAACCCATAATATTTCTTTATCAAAGTAGTTTAAAACAAAAGATGAAAGGACAATGGCGGCCGCTGTGGTGTAGAGGTTATCAGTGTGCGCTAACACTTCGCAGGGCCTGGGTTCAAGCCCGGTTCAACCCAATATCAAAACAATAAAAATCGCCATTCGGAGTCGGTGTAAAACTGCAGGTCCCTTCCCTTTGTGTGACACCACCAAGACGCACGCAACAAATCTGAGGAGAAGCGTGGCCAAACACTAACATACGTATGTGTAAGCGCCAACCTATTATTATTATTAATACAGTTAATCAAAATAAATCTGTATTAAAAATACTGCGGCCACGAGTCTGTGTAGAATATTACAACAATTTCAAACAAATGCGCGAATTTATATATTAAAATCATTTTGGAGTATAAAAATCAATGTTTGCTCTAAGCAAAACTAATTTCTAGGGACCGTAACAGTTACAACTCTTATTATAAAAATCGCTCTTTAACAATTATTTTTTGACTTTTACTTAACCTGAATTTGCCCAGAATTGTTTTACTTTAGGATTTTCTTAGCACTTTTAAACAAACTTTCACACTGATTCCAACACACTTTATGAAGAATCAACCACTTATTTGCATACACGCGGTTATTATGTAACGAAAAAATTAAATTTCAATACAACCAGTCCATTTACAGTTAATTTTTTTCAACTAGTGCATTAATCTTTAAAAAACGATTATTTCTAACTTTTATTTAAAAACCCAAAATAACAATTATTTTTGATCTTTATCTATATAATCTGCAAATAACAGTTATTTTGGACTTTTATATTTTATGTCTTAAATAACGGTTATTGAAAACTTTTACTTTCAAAAGTCATTCATTTAAGTCAGTCACTGGCTTTTATTTTTTAAGTCATACTTATAAAAGGTATTTGTATAAGTCTAGTAAAAGTTTGTTCTCCAACACCATCTTAACTGCATTATACGTATGACTTAAAAAATAAAAGTCAGTGACAGATTTATATTGATGATTTTTAAAAGCAAAAGCCACTGACTGATTTTTATTGATGAATTTTATAAATAAGTCTTCGATAACTGCTATCTAAGACATATAATATAAAAATCAAAAATAATTGTTATTTTAGATTTATAGAATAAAAATCAAAAATTATTGTTATTTTGAATTTATAAATAAAAAATAAAAAATAATTATTTTTTTAAATTATGCATTAAAATTACAAACACATTTTTTTCAAATTTTATTCTCGACGAAAAAAGAAATCGATTGGTATGTATCACTTAGTCACAGAACATTTCCTTCATAGTGCATTTTTCAATGACAGTTGTCATCATATATGTAATACTCCTATATTGGCAGTAAGAGCTAGTACCGTCCGAAAACACTACAGTACAGATATATCAATAAACACGTACGAAAGAAAAGGAACACATACGTTTATAAATAAACATGTACACGACACATTTACAAAACCGGCACTCAAGTACACAATACATTGACAATAACAGTACTAGACTGTCTCGCTTTGATTTCGGAATGCTTACACATTGAGATGTTAGCTTACTATCAATATAGAAGTATTACATATATGGTTGTCATCAACAACTGTTATGTTTAGTTATCGCAATTGCATGAATTGCATGATTTTGATTACTTTAATTGTAATCCTAAAAAAGTTAACGATTACTACTGTAATTGTAATAACAATTTTCATGATTACAATTACTGTAATTATAATCTTAAAATTTTTCGTATCCCGATTACTGTAAATCGTAATCATAAAGTGGCCAGCACTGGTCTTACGTAACCAAATTCATATAAAAAAAAAAATTGTCTTTGTAATAATGGATGTGTGGGTAGTACTAAAAAGCACCAAAAAGTTTCAATTCAAAGGGCTCGCCGATGCAATCTTCGCTGGGCCCTGCCTGGCTCTCGGCGGCCCTGTGAATACAAGTATATTAATTCGGTTATTATGGTGTACATTCGAAACTTAAGATCATAGCACTACAAATTCTTACCGGTGTTCTCGTTGCTTGGACGAACAGACCAATATGGCTCCAGTTTAAATATGCGTTCCTTAAGTTTTCGATATCAAGTACTGCCACAGATCGCATTTGGTTATTAAGCGATGGTAATATTTGAAAATGATGTAAGAGAGAAATTCCGTCCTTACTAGAAGAAATCCATTCTCAAATTGTTAATATAAAAATATTTTACCTTCGCTCACCACAAAATGCTTTCGTTCGAACTTGATGTTCTCGAACATCCAAACAGACAGTCTCCATGATCCAGTTGACTAACATCAATGTATAGTTTCTGCAATAAAAAAAATTTTAACTGTAAAATACAGGTTTTAGGAAAGGCTGCGTTTTTTGAAGTGAAACTTCTTAGGCGGCGGTATCGCAAAAATCGAGGAGGAAAGTTACACATACGCATACCACAAGTAAGTTTTAGAGCTTCTTTGATATACTCTCACAGTTTGAACTTTGCTCGAGTTTTTCTAGAAGTAGCTTGTGGAAAAAACCTATTGTTAGTCATATTTCCAGTAATCGGAAAGTCCTAGACCCGGACATTTGGCAAGCCTAGCCGTGAGGAAATTCAACGCAGAATCACTCTTGCCAACAAGTGCTACTTTGGACTGAGTAGGCAATTCAGGGGTAAAGTCCTCTCTCGATGTACGAAAACCACGCTCTATAAGTCATTCATCATGCCCGTGCATAGACAATGACAACATTCGATGAGGCGGGTCTTGGAGTGTTCGAGAGAAAGATTTTGCGGAAGATTTACGGGCCTTTACGCGTTGGCGACGGCGAATACCGCAGACGATGGAACCATGAGCATAATGCAGCGAATTAAAATACAGCGGCTCCGCTGGCTTGGCCAGGTCGTTCGAATGGACACCGATGCTCCAGCTCTGAAAGTATTCAACTCGGAACCCGCTGGTGGTAGCAGAGGAAGAGGGAGGCCCCCACTGCGATGTAGGGACACGATATCGAACAGAAAGTATCGATATGGTACTCATTTAAATTATCGCTTCAAAAATATCGGGTACACATTAATATCGGAATAAAAAGACTCGATATTCCAAATATCGATACCAAAATCCAAAAAATTTATCTGAATATAGGTCCCGTATATAGGCCGCTGTGGTGTAATGGTTAGCAGTGGGCAAAGCTTGAAAATGAAAAACATCTTCCCATTAAAACAAAATCGCCGTTCAGAGTCGACATAAACTGAAAGGACCCTTTTGTGCCGCAACATTAAGGCGCGCGCGACAAATCGGAGCAGAATCTCGGGAAAATTTTAGTTTGGCATCGCGCGATTTTTTATTAAAAATTTTTATTATTTATCGAAGTATAGATTTTTATGGAAAAAGCGCTGCAGGCGATAATTTTTAATAAAAAATCGCGCGGTTTTTTATTAAATATTTTCATTATTTATCGCGCGATTTTTTATTAAAAA